AGGTGAGTAACTTTTGCCATACACTCCTATTGCCACAATGGATGTACCTTGCTACAGATCCCAAGCCAACAGAGCCACAACCATAGACTGAATTCTCTGACACTGGGGGCCAAAACAAGTCCTTCTAAGTTTTTTTTTGTTTTTGTTTTTGTTTGTTTGTTTTTTGGTCAGTTATTTTGTCATGGTAGTGAGAACTTCCTAATTCTGAATATGAGAACGAGACACTGTTTTATAGCAATTGCTCACTAGGTGATGAAGGTGGAGAGTCTGCTCAGAGTCACCCCGTGCAGGAAAGAAAACTCCTGGGATGGAGGAAGAACCTCAGCTGTGTGGCCATTTCCCACCCTAGATGAGCCCAGCTGACACTAAGGAGGTGCCTCTTCCTACCCTCCCGGTACCATGCCTACCACTGTATCATGCATTTGCTTGTCTCCAGAGAAGGGTAGATTTTGCTCTCAGAAATGTCAAATTAGTCAGCAAGCTGGATTAGTGAAATCAAAGCCAAAGGCACTCTAAAATCAGTGAAATCAAAGCCAAGGCAGAAATTGCAATCCTTCTATTTCCTCTCCAAATTATCATCAGCCACATTGTTCAATTCAGCTCAACCTACAGTCTCCAATTCAGAGATTCAGAGATGAAATGAAAGCATAACATGACTACAAAGTGCAGTAATTCAGCCCAACCCAGCTGCCCCAGATCTGATCCCGAGCCCTCTCACATTACGTATTTATGAGTGAGAAATTAGATTTCAATGACTAATCTTGTATATTAAAGTGAAAGTATATACAGGAATTAACATTTGGAAGGAAATTCTATTTTCTGTGTGAGCAAAAGATTAGAAATTATTATAGTCTTTTAATTCCTCATTTTTTTTTGTTCTAGCTATTCTAGTCAGGAGATCTTCTTTGTCTGTCTCAGCAATATTCAAGATTTTTAGTCTCAGAAGCTTTTGAAACTCTAAACTACTTTTGAGACTACCACAGTACTTATCGCTATTTTTTCACACTGAATATTAAAATGGAAACACTGAAAATACTAATTTATTTAAACATTCAAAAATATAACTTAAGGTAGATAAAGTATCTTTATAGAATTCAGAAAGAGAAAATATTAGCTAGAGGGTAGAATTTGATTGTATAAGAGGAATTGATCTTTGTGGTCTTTTGTACTGATGGTAACCACTGTTAACAAGAATGAACCACACATTTCAGAACTGCTAAAATAATAGAGTTTGATTTTTCTACAAATAATTATATATATATTTATAATAAATATAATAGATACAGTTGTGTTCCATAAATCTCATTTTTCAATTGCAATCTAGTGAAAAAGGCCACTTCCTTTTTTCTGCATGTTTGCCAACCCTTTCACACTTGGCTTAATAGAAGACAGTTGGTTTTCATGTCTGCTTCCATTGTGAAGCCCCCGTGATATGTTCTTCTGGTTGAAAACTCTAGAGACATTTCAGCTCCTCCTAGCTAATGTGCTTGGAAAAGAGGGGTGTATTTAGCATGTTTTTTTTTGGGGGGGTACTTGTTTCAGATATCTGTGGATTCCTCCTTTGGTCTCAGGCTAATACTTGTTGACAAATGGTAGTTTCTTCAAAGGTGAGTTGCAATTTGGAACCTGACGCCTTATCAGCCAGAGCTCATGCTTCACTGTGTTAGCGCCCATTGGAGTAGCTCACATTTTGAAAGGTTCCCCATATTATCTTATTTGATAGATCTCTCCAATGTTGTCCCATTTCATCATACAACGTAAAAAGAAAATCCTGTTTGTTAATATGATCACCCTTTTCTTTAGAAAAAAAAATCTGTAAATCTTGGGATTGTGGGAATATTTTTTTAACTCTAATTTTTGCTTGCAAGATTGATTTTCATTATAGCAAACAATTATTGTCAGTCGTCTTTGAACAGATACTTCTTGTTCATGTTTTGGAAAAATATTCCCCAGTATTTAAGATTGAATAACCACAGTAATTCCTTTAAAATGACATTCATAAATAAAAAGAAGTAGGTGGAGGAGAAGAAGAGGAGAAAAGGAAGAAGGATGTTTTCCTCTCTTGATTGCCCTTTGGTGCTTTGACATAGGATTTCATGGTGTGGTCCAAGCTGGCTTTGGTCCAGTGGTCCTCCGGCCTCAGTGTCCCAGCTGCTGGGACCCTACATCTATACCCCTGTGCCCATTTTTAATTCAGCATTTAATTCAAACAACTGCACTGTGTTTGCCCTCAGGACAACCTTCATACTTCAGCACACTGTAAAATTAATTTATGCGCCCTTCACATTTTGTTGCATTGAATATTAAAACGATGTGTACTCAGTAAATGAGATTTAATAAAATTAATTTTTTACAGTTTCATTAAGGACATTCTCAAGGAAAAGTAGCCTATTTTTATTTTAGTATGTTATTAGTTTGTGCTAGAGAGGAATTCAATGACTGTGCATGCAGTTCCAACAGTTAGTCTCCAGCTGGTGGCGCTGTTTGGGGAAGTTACAGAACCTGTGAGAGGTGGAGCCTCCCTGGTGAGCCACTGGGGCAGGGCTGAAGCTTTATAGCCACACCCCACTCCTTCTGTTTGCTTTTCTACTTCCTGGGGGTGATGCAATGTGACCTGCTCCTGCTACTGTGCCTTCCTGCCTGCTGCCAAGTCATTCCAATCATGGTGGTCTGTACCCCTCTGCAGCTGTAAGCCAAAATAAACCCCATAACAGTAGTACCCTTCCTTGACTGTTAGCCTCATATCAGAGGCTCCTATGTCAGAGGCACACTAACAAGAGAAAATCAAACACACGAACTTAACGTTAAATGCAGGGCCAATGCCTTCACAGGGAAGTGAAAATCCAAATAAATGGTGGAAGAGTACTGTTGACCATTGGGGTGAATTCTAATGTTACCAAACTTTGAGGCTAGTTTATTCAGGTTCTCCTCTGTGTCTTCAGAGATAAGGGTAGTCTCTTCCTCTGAGTACAGGATGAGCATCTCTCCCATGAGGCACTCCTGGGCGGCAGTAGCGGGAGGCACAGAGTTCTTTCCAGGCTTTGCTGCTTGCTGTTGGAGAGAAGGGGAGGTCAGAGAGAACTTCCTGTTTTGCTGCTTTCTCAAGGCCAAGGTGCCCTCTTTGCAGGTTCTATATTAGCTACTTACCCCACTGCAGTGGCAAAACACCCCACAGGAGAAGCTGAACTCAGGAAATGTTTGGGCTTGAGAGATGGCTCAGTGGTTAATAGTGCTGGTTTTCCTTGTAGAGGACCAGAGTTTGGTTCCCAGCAGTCATAGCCAGCAGTTCACAACTGCCTGCAGCTGGAGCTCCTGGGGATCCAACATCCTTTCCTTACATCTGTGAGCATCCTTGTACGTGTGAGCATACACACACAGGCACACACATATAATAAGAATAAAATAATTGTTTAAAAAGGAAAAGGAGGAGGCTTGAGGAATTATAGACTATCATGGCGGTGGGGAGGTGAGGTGGCTGCTCCCATTGCATCGGTGATCAGGAAGCAGAGAGAGATGGATGTTGGTGCTCCGCTCCCTTTCTCCTATTTATGCAGCCCAGGACTGTAGCCAATGGGTTGATGCTCCCCACAGTCAGGATGAGTCCTCCATCCTCAGTTAGTCCCTTTGGAAGTGCCCCGTCACACCCAAAGGTGTGTTACCTAGGTAACTCCAGACCCAGTTAAGTTGATAGGGAGATTAAACACCACAGGCAATGTGTCCTGAGCACCGTGTTCAGGGCCAGCAGCTACCTACTCTTGCTTTTGCACTACAGTGCAAATGTTAGAAAAGAAAATAAGTAGACAGCATTTTGCTCTTATTATGAAAACAGTCTCCACCCAGAACCTTCACTCAAGGGCATGGGGACTAACTTGGCTGTGCTCCACATTTAGAGGACAAAGCCTGAGGAGAGATCCTAGCTTGCTTCTCTTTGGACTGAGAACAGTTCCTTTCAGCTTACAAAAGTGATAGGATTTCAGTTAGAAGCTCCTCAGTGCTTTTCTCCCTCACTTCCTTCTTTTGCACATTTTTTTTTTCTGATGCTTATTAGTTTCTGTTACTCTTAAGCCTTTGCTTATTTATTTATTTATTTATTTATTTATTTATTTATTTATTTATTTATTTATTTATTTATTTATTTATTTAAAAAACAGTTTTAGGCTTACTGCCGTTCTCTGTAAAGAGTCAGTGGGATACACATCGCAGCCAGTTCTTAACTCCAAATGCAGCTGTCCCCACGAAACCAGGCTTCTGGAGTCCAGGAAAGGGGTCTGCCAGAAGAAACAGTCAGATGAATCTGCCAGAAGAAACAGTCAGATGAATCTGGGAGAAAGCAGCTCGAGAAACGGCCGTGCTCTGTCCTCCCTGGACAATGCTGGTTGTTTGGAACCCCGTGCGCCCGCATCCCCACGGAGTGGCATGCGAAGCCTGTGGGCTCCTGCAGTTTACAGTGTGCGGCGGGCAACGGCCACGCCCATCACAGGCAGCTCGCCTTTCCACTGTTGCCATCTCGTGTCCTTGCGTAGTCGTTACTTTTCTGTTTCTCCGACAGACTTCCCCGGCAAAAGTAACTTGAGGGAGATGGGGTTTATTTTGGCTTACAGCTGCAGAGGGGTACAGACCATCATGACTGGGACGACTTGGCAGCAGGCAGGAAGGCACAGTAGCAGGAGCAGGTCACATTGCATCACCCCCAGGAAGTAGAAAAGTGAACAGAAGGAGTGGGGTGTGGCTATAAAGCTTCAGCCCTGCCCCAGTGGCTCACCAGGGAGGCTCCACCTCTCACAGGTTCTGTCGCTTTCCCAAACAGCGCCACCATCTGGAGGCTAAGTGTTCAAACACATGAGCCCACGGAGGGCATTCCACAGCAATGTGTCACCTCCTAGTTGGTATTTCCCATGTGTATTACACTGTTGGTCCGACATTCACAATTCAGAGTCTAGAACTTCACTTAGTGCGTGGTAATTAGGTTCTAAATTCTAAACTTCAAAGCTTACTCTATGGTTGAATCATTGCCTTAACTGCATAGGTTAATAGCTCACCTGATAATGGCCTACACATTTTCTGAGGCCTGGAGGGCCAGTTCTGACTAACAAGGATTCATGAGGCACATTCCATGGAGCATTCCAGTGTGAACTCTGGGTAGCATGCCTTTCCTCCAGCATGGGAGCCTGGTGCTCTCGCCCCTCTCGTAGATTCCCTGCTTTGCCTTGCTCTTTGAAGCCTAGAGGTTCTCTCAGCTTTTTGCACGGAGCAGTCAACCTTGTCTCTCTGTGGATGGCCACTGGCCTGTGGACAAATCCCACATAAGCTGCAGTCACTTGCCAAGGTCAAAACACCAGGCGGCCAGAGGCTTAAAGCTCTGGCCCAGGTTGCAGCCGATAAAACCTAACTGTGCAACTGTACTAACAACCACTGTGTGCAGGCCTCCTTCTATGCCAGCATCCAAATACCCGCTCAAACTCAAAAGACAAAAGGTCCAGATTCATTTCTCTCGCTCATCCAAGCACCAAGTATTCCGTTCTCATGAAGTTTTACCTTTTGTCCCTTTCCTAAGGTAGAGGCTGTACTGTGCTCGATATTGTAGTATTTTAAGTGACAGTACTCAAATTGCAGACCCCCCACGTTGGAATTGAAGCTAGTCTCAAAAGACTTAGGATGGTTAGTGGCGGAGGAGAGCCCGTGTCCTTCCCATGAGAGGAATGACAAGGAAAAGCCACCAGTCAGATTCTATTTCCAGTGTAAACTCCATATTGAGATACATTTTTCTCCTTGCGGGCAGAAGACGCGAGGAGACAGAGGGAGGCCCAGAACATTGGAGAACGTCGTGGGTTCCCTTCTCAGTGGAAACCTGGAGAGGTTCAGAAGTGTAGCTAACGACAATGGTAGGCCACCCTGAGCCCAGCACGCACTAATTTAGTCTGTTTTCATGTCTCTAGATGGAAGAACGACACCTCTGTGGGATGAATACTGCGCAGATTGGAGACAGTGCACACTGAAGCTAGGAACACAGCTGCACACAGCAGCTCATGAGTACACGCACGCAGGAACACACATACCAGCGTGAGTATAGCATGACAGAGCAGGCTCCCAGTGCTCAGATGCTCAGGCTAAGGAAGGCTCGACTCTGATACAGGCTGAGGGGAAGGAGCGGTCATGATGTTGTGAAAGTGCTGGCTGCCTGAACATCTGACTGGGCTGCCTATGGGTGTGTGTGCGCGTGCGTGCGTGCGTGTGTGTGTGTGTGTGTGTGTGTGTGTGTGTGTGTGGCGTAGCATTGTCACATTCTTATTCAAACTACCACACCTACCTATGGTGCTTTGTGATAACTACCAAACTGACTAACATACATCCACACCAGATACATGTGTACATGCATACACACACACACACACACACAGATGAGAGATTATTGAAAGCACTGCATTGGCAAGCAGGAAGGGCAAAGCATGCCAATATAGCCCTTCATTTGACAGAGGTGTCGGAGGAAGGAGGGTGAAGGTTTCATCTTCAGGCATCTGGAAGGCTTCATGACGAGAGTAAATAAAGGGAGACGAGAGAAATGTACACAGGCAGGGTGAACCCACAGGCAAGAGAGCAGAGCAGTGGATATGGCCAGAAGAAAGAAGGCTCTGGAAGAAGTTTCTTTCGAGAGAGTTTTTTCCTGCCGAAGACAAGTTGGATTGAAGCATTTGGGTCTGCTTCAAAGGTCAGTAGAGTGTCTGACTTAGACACTGCTATGATGCAGCTTGAGGTACCATTTTTTCCACCTTTAGATAATCATTTTTAGATCTAACATTTTTAAGGCCACTGTGTGTTGTGTATAGTCCATCTAGAAAGTCAGCTGCTGATCAGAAACTTGGTTCTCTTAACTACTGAAAGGGACCACAGCACACTGCTCTGACAATATATTGCTGACATTTGACTATGAACATGTTTGAAGTAAGTAAACTGAAGTCAGAAAGTCAATGTTATTTTGTAGTCAATACAGTATCTGTTTTGTATTTCAAGTCATGCACAGACGCTCAATGAAAGGAATAAATTATTTCCTGGCCCAGCTAATGAGTAGAAATATATTTAATGGCCTCCAATGTCATAGCGTTAGTCAGATTTCTCAGAATTTGGAAGGAAGGCAAATTGTATGGTTTCAGCTCAGCAAACTGTGGACAGTAGTCTGTGCCACACACAATTAAATCCAGGGACTCATCCATGGAATGAGAAGAGAATTCCGGTGCTGAGACGAGCCTTCTCACCCGGCCTGCCAATGAGCTCCAGCTGAGGGCTTGCATCATTTAACAACAATGCCAGTTTATTGACCATCATAAACTTAAGTCTCACTGATGCACGGATAAATAAATTAGTATCTTGAAAGTACATAACAGGAAAGGGAAGTAGCGAAGAGCTGCAGGATCAAAAGAGTGCTCTAGTGGTTTGGATAATGCGAGTGTTGAACCGAATGTTTCCCTGGCCAGGTGTGCTTCTAAAAATAGCACCACTTTCTTGGTACAGAGCTCAAGTCCACTGATCCACAGGCATTGGGAAAGAGGTAGTGGGGTACTATTTCTGCCACTGTTTTTTTTTTTTTTATGTGATGGAAGTGGAAATTCACGGAGTTGACAGGTGTGTGAGTCACCTCCTCTGGTCTCAGAATGGAGTGAAGACCAGAGTCCAGCTGGGAGCTGACCTTGTGCTAGTGGTCTCACTGGCCGTCTAAAAAGGTGAACTATGGGCTCATCAGTGGGATTAGAAATGGGTTGAAGCAGGTCCACTGTGGGTCCCCTCAAGGAAGATGTGCCTGGAGTGGCCCCATCACAAGACTATGGTCCCAGCACCTCCTCACTGGTACTATGGATTTTATAAGAACAACATTAAAGCTACTTGACTCTTTTGACTCAGTGTGGGGACAGTAATTTTTGTTCAGTGTCTTGAGTGTTACCTCGTTAGCTTTATGGGGTTGTGGCCACTACCCGGGATTTCACTGCAGTCCACAGTGTTCTGGACAGTATGCATACCTCATTTTTTATTAAAGAGGAACAAGCTCATTATAATCCTTATTTAAGTACATATTTATGTTTAATTGATTATCCTGTCTCTGTCCCTGTTTCCCATTGGAAACCTCCCACATCCCTACCCTCCACCAGATGGCTAGCATTCTGCCCTAAGTTGGAAAAACAGGTGATAGACTTGATATAGATATTGGGTGTTGCGGACAATATAATTTCCATGCATTGAATTTTCTCTTGCTTGAGTAGCTACAACATGAACCAAATTGGCAACTGAAGTGACCATACACCGACACTATGTTCTAGTTATTTCCACTTCACAGATGTGTATATCTAGGCCTCATAAAGAGACAACCAAGTCAGCTTGGTCCACTCCTTCTTCTGTTGATGAGTTTGGTTAATGCAACAGCAGGGATAGACCATATAAATGGAGCTGAGCTTTCTTTATAATTAATTAATTAATTAATTTTACATCCCTATTGAAGTCCCCCCTCCCTTCCCTCCCCCGGCTTTCCCTCTACTTCTCCTCTGTTTCCAATCAGAAAAGGGCAAGCCTCCCAAGGCTATCAACAAAACATGGTATATCAAGTTTCAGTAAGACTAAGCAACTCTTCTTGTATTAAGGCTGGACAAAGCAACTCAATATGAGGAATAGGGTCCTAAAAGTCAGCAAAAGAGTCAAAGACAACCCCTGCTCCCACGGTTAGGAGTCCTACAAGGAAACCAAGCTACACAACTGTCACATATATTCAGAGGGCCTAGGTCAGTCCCATGCAGGCTCTCTGGTTGTTGGTTCAGTCTCTGTGAGGTCCTGTGAGCCCAGGTTAGTTGATTCTGTGTGTTTTCTTGTGGTGTCCTTGATGTCTCTGGCTCCTATAACCCTTCCCTTTTCAGCAGGATTTCTCAAGCTCCGCCTAATGTTTGGCAATGGGTCTCTGCATCTGGTTCCATCAGTTTCTGGATGAAGCCTCTCTCATGACAACTGGGCCAGGCACCAATCTATGAGTATAGCAGACTATCGCTAGGCATCATTACATTGACATTTTTTTTCTCCAGTCCTGTTGGTTCTATTCTTGGTCTCTGGGCCATCTAGCCTCTGGGTCCTGGTGCTCCAAGCAGTGTCTGGGTGGGCTCATTCTCCTGGCATTGGTCTCAGGCTGGACCAGTCTTTGGTTGGCCACTCCTACAATCTCCCTGCCACCCTTACCCTAGCACATCCAGGATGCAGGACAGACTGTAGATTGAAGGTCATGTGACTTGGTTGGTGTCCCAATCCCTCTACTGGAAGTCTTCTTGCCTGGTCAAAGGAGATGACCAGTTTGCAGCTGAGCTTTCAAAGCCTTCTTTTAGGCTGTTTGTGTGGCTCAGTGGCAGAACAGGTATCCGGCATGCTTGAAGCCATAGTATCCATCCCCAGCACTCAAACTTCTCAACCCCACCTCTGAAAACCAGACTCCTTTCATGAGACATCTCGCTCAGAAAGAGCTGCAGAGGCTGCCGTTAGGACCAGTTGCTGTACTAACCCTACTTGCTGGCAGCTACACTATTCTAATGATGTGGGGGCACAAGGTCTTTCTTCTCTCAAGGTGTAGCTGTAACCAAGGCAAGGTCAGGAATAGCTTCCCGTCAAGAGGAGTGGGGTCTGAACATGCAATGCTTCTTCTCTAGCAAATCCCTGTCTTCTTCTTGTGTTCTTTAGTTGGGTGTAGAAAGCTAGAGGAATGCTTCCCTAGGTGAGCAGAAGACCAGCTTGACAGATGGTGAGGTGAACTGGCAGCTGCCCAGAAATGAGGCTGTATCTGGAGAGTTGTCCCAGGAAGGGCATTCTGCCTGGCTTTGATGGATGGAGCTGTTTAGCTCAAGCGCTTCTGAAAGGTTTGGATAAGGCTTTGTAAGGAATACCTCATCACGAACTAGACATGCTGGTAGAGACCAGGGAGAGTTTGCTTTGGTGTCTTGACCTTGGTTAGTTTCAGGTAAGGCAGGCCTTGAAGGTGATTTGGGCCTTCAAAATTAGTCTTGTCTGCATTGGGGTAGGATTCTATCTGGGTGCCTGGGTGAGGCTGGGTACAAGTGAATATGCTAAAGATGGGTAAAGATGAATTGAACACAAAAAAGCAAATGGAGTTGGGAGAAGAATTGGAGAGGGAGGAATGGAGGTAGATTTGATGATAATATATGTACATATTATATTCTCAAGTACAAAATATTTAATTAAAATGTCTTGGCCTTGCACACTTTAATATATATATATATATATATATGTATATATATATATATATATATAACCTCAAAATAAACAATATATGGTTTGAATAATGAAAACATGGTGGACTTGACTTTTCCAGCCAGACTTCCTCATGTTAAAAATCCAGCCCCAATATTCAGTGATATTATAACTTTGAGCATGCTCCTTAATTAATTTGTGCCTCAGTTTTCTCTTCTGTTAGATGGAATCACTAGAGGACCTGATTTTCACTGCTTTGTGGATTAAATGAGATGCACATGTAAAGCTCTTAGAACAGTCCCAGGACATAATAAGTCCTTCAGAAAGGTGCGGTATTTTTGTAATGAAATTTTATGGTAGTAAATCTTCTAGAGAAAACTGAAAGTAGGAGGGGCAAAGAGTGTGGAGGGTGGATCTTTGTTCCATGTAGTAGTGCCATCAGGGCATGTCTTGTCAAGGAGGAGTTGACAGAAGAGCCCAGGAGTAAAGCATGAGGATTCTGGGAGAATGTCTGGCCAAGAGCAAAAGACACTGCACAGAAGGAGTCAGGTATGTGTCAAAAGCCAGTGAGGGGCCAGTAAGAGCTGCAAAGGAGAGAGAGAGAGAGAGAGAGAGAGAGAGAGAGAGAGAGAGAGAGAGAGAGAGA